AAGACCAAATCAAGTCGTTTGATTATTTCCTGGTTGAAGGATATAACACCCGGGGGGCAACAAACAGACAAGAAGGCAAAAGCAAGTGTTTGAACTGAACAATTCGCTGATCTCCGAATAAATATCTTGAATCTAATGAGAAACTTTGATTATCTCTTTTGTCGAGCGAATTCAATAAAAATATTTTCCTGTGGATACACGAAAATTCAAAATAAATAAAACAGTCCTTTCTTTTAAGAAAACGAAGACGGAGTTGGTATTATTATATCTGAACACTGTGTACTTGTAAAATATCAGATGACAGCGATGATATTCGGTAATTTGAAATTTATTGTCAAACGTTCTTAGATTATGCATAATTCGAACGAACGTAATGAGAAAAGAAGGTTTGGAAAATTTGATACTCACGAGACTTAGAAGGAAGAAGGACAAAAGAAAACACTGAGTAACCTACCTAACGACCTTGTCTAACTGGGATGTCATAGCAGAGAATGGGCGGAAAGTGGGGGACAACTCCAGTCGGAATCATAGAGTCATTGTGAACTCCAGGATGCATGTATTTTTGAATTCCGTTGTCCTTCTCCTAGACTGGCTGACAACTAAGGCTGAAGAAATTATCTGCTCTATTTAATACATATCTGGGGGGGGGTAGTATATTTACACCTTTCCAAAGGGTATTTGCGCGTAAATGGTTACACGTGCACATCCATTGGGAAATACAAGGGATAATAAAATGACAAACGTTGCTAAGACCTAAAAATGAGGGGAAGTTGTGGAGAGCCATAATCGCCCATGTCTTGAAAGAATGGTGTATAAAAGAAGTGAATACTTATCTTAGTTGTTATATTCATAACGATTTGAATATTGTATATTCCAGCTTTCTTCAGATCTCTGTTCTTAACTGTAAACCTCTTCTCCAGGACATTAGCGATCATGGCTCTCCTCAATTTCCTGTTCTTTGTAGCTGTTAGCAATATTTGTGTTTTCCTATCCTACTTAAAGCCTGTTATATCATTCATTGGCACAAGCTCATTAAGTATGTTATTCGTTGTTTTTCTCTTGCCTTCATAATGTCTTGTGAGTGTCAAATTTTCCAAGCCCTCTTTCCTCGTTATGTGCCCTATACATTTCAACTGTCTCTTTTTGGTGTTAAGTATGAGTGAGTTTTGGTTTCTATTTTAGCTAAAACTTCGTCATTGTTCACATTTTCCGTCCACCCGTGGGATGGTTTTCAAGAAATTTTTGCCGCACGCTGGTATCGATCCCTCCATTAGAACGTCTTTTCCTGACAGATCGACCTTGGTGAGATTCGAGCCCGGGTCTCATGATCAAAAAGCGAACCTTCTAACCACGCGCCCATATCGTGTCATACATGCATTATTTCGACAGCTTTTCGATGTTCCATCACCATTGTTCGATGTTGACGATCACTTTCGACGTTTTGAATGATGGTGTGAACTGAGGAACGGGTGCATTATTAAATCATTTCATTCCAAGCAAGGCAATAAACACACCAATATATATATATATATATATATATATATATATATATATATATATATATATATATATATATATATATATAATTTTACTTAGTTTCTAAATAATGAATATTTATTAAACAATAGACATGTGTTAACTGTTTTTTGTCGACATCATCAAATATTCGCATTGAATAATTTGTATAAAACAAACAAACGAAAAAATAATAAATACAAATTTTAAACTCCATAGTCTAAATAAAAACTTTAAAATCCCTTCGCAATCATATATAAGAAAAACTTTATGAAGTCGTCAAAAAGAGAAATGTTAGCTAATTATGACAGTTTTATATACACAAAACCCTTTCAGGAAAGAAAATAAAATAAAAAAATAAATAAATCTCCATAGACACTTAACCAGACTAGACGATGTCATCTTCTGCTTTAAATTTAGACATCCCAACCTTACCCTGACTTGACCTCTTTGAATGTTGCTGAGATATTGATACAAATTATTTACCCTTACGCCCCTTTTTTTAAATAATTGCTCTAGCTGCTACCATAGTAATTTTAATTTTAATAATGAATATGCTTATAAAACCGCGTAAATTTCAAGAATTAGTTATTCCCCCACAAAATTTCGCTTGTTGATGGAACAGAGCTTGGTACTTTAATTCAATTTAATTCAAATAATTATATTGAAGTTTTCGGCTCTTGTTTTGAAAGATGAGAACTCTTATGTAGCGTTGGAATCATATTTTTAAATAAATAATTATATTTAGGCTCTATTTTTGTATCGAGCACTGTTTTTGAAAAATAATAACAAAAATACTAAAGAACTTTGGATTTTTTACCTAACGAGTTCTTTCCTATTTTCTATATATTTTCACACACACACACACACACACACACACATATATATATATATATATATATATATATATATATATATATATATATATATATATATATATATATGAATACAGAAAATCTGACCAAACTATCGAACAATTTTTGGGATGTGGAAAAGGTTTCTTTGTCGGGATGGGATCCCTTCTCAGTGCCCCATAATTGCCTTAAATTTTTTGTTCATTATCTATCTATCTATCTATCTATCTATCTATCTCAGTCTTCTAAAATATAAAAAATATCCATTTAGCTAAAAATTATAGTGTTATAACAAACTCTGTGTTTATCAACACACAGACACACAATCATATACTCAGTATCTGTATACATATCTATCTCTGTTTATATCTATCTACCTATCTCTGTACCTATCTGTCGATTGATCGATCTATTTATCTAACCCTGGGTCAAGAAGGTGGCTATTGGAAGACCCTATGTCGGTCAACATCATCCTTCTCGCCGCCCTTCTCATCGCTCTTTTTTACAATTCGTTATTTATTCTTTCTTTGCTTCTATTTCTCTCTCCACTTTTCATCTTGCGATAAAAGATTCTTTCTTTTCTCTTTCTTTATTTCTTTCTTTCTTTCTTCATGAAATAATTTTCTTTTTTCCTTCTTTATTACATTCCCCTTGAAATAGTTTTCTTTCTTTCTTTCCTTCTGTCTACTTTCTATGTTGTAATAATAATTTTCTTTTATTCTTTCTTCTTTAAGTAGTTTTCTTTCTTTCTTTATTTCTTTCTTTCTTTCTTTCTTTCTTTCTTTCTTTCTTTCTTTCTTTATTCCTGAAATAGTTTCCTGTCTTTTTACCTTCTATCTTGCAATAACAATTTTCTTTCTTTCTTACTTTTTACGTATTGAAGATTTTTCTTTGTTTCTTTTCTTGCTATCTTTACTTTTTTTTCTTTCTTCTTGAAATCGTTTTCCTTCGTTCTTTCCTTCTTTCTTTCTTCTTGAAATAGTTTTCTTTCTGTTGTGGTTTCTTTCTTCCTTTTCTTTCTTCCTTTTCTTTCTTTCATTCTTTCTTTCTTTCTTTCTTCTTAAAACAGTTTTCATTCGTTCTTTCTTTCATTTGTCTTGAAATAGTTTTCTTTCTTTCGTTTTTCCTTTGATTCTTTTCTTTCTTTCTTAAAACAGTTTTCATTCGTTCTTTCTTTCATTTGTCTTGAAATAGTTTTCTTTCATACGTTTTTCCTTTGATTCTTTTCTTTCTTTCTTAAAACAGTTTTCATTCGTTCTTTCTTTCATTTGTCTTGAAATAGTTTTCTTTCTTTCGTTTTTCCTTTGATTCTTTTCTTTCTTTCTTAAAACAGTTTTCATTCGTTCTTTCTTTCATTTGTCTTGAAATAGTTTTCTTTCTTTCGTTTTTCCTTTGATTCTTTTCTTTCTTTCTTTCTTTCTTAAAACAGTTTTCATTCTTTCTTTCTTTCATTTGTCTTGAAATAGTTTTCTTTCTTTCGTTTTTCCTTTGATTCTTTTCTTTCTTTCTTAAAACAGTTTTCATTCTTTCTTTCTTTCATTTGTCTTGAAATAGTTTTCTTTCTTTCGTTTTTCCTTTGATTCTTTTCTTTCTTTCTTAAAACAGTTTTCATTCTTTCTTTCTTTCATTTGTCTTGAAATAGTTTTCTTTCTTTCGTTTTTCCTTTGATTCTTTTCTTTCTTTCTTTCTTTCTTTCTTTCTTAAAACAGTTTTCATTCTTTCTTTCTTTCATTTGTCTTGAAATAGTTTTCTTTCTTTCGTTTTTCCTTTGATTCTTTTCTTTCTTTCTTAAAACAGTTTTCATTCTTTCTTTCTTTCATTTGTCTTGAAATAGTTTTTTTCTTTCATTTGTCCTTTTCTTTTCTTTTTTCTTAAAACAGTTTTCATTCGTTTTCTTTCTTTTTTGAAACAGTTTCTTTTCTATTCGTTTTTCTTTTTCATTTTCTTTTTTCTTAAAAGTTTTATTCGTTTTCTTTCATTTGTCTTTTCGTTTTTCCTTTGATTCTTTTCTTTCTTTCTTAAAACAGTTTTCATTCGTTCTTTCTTTCATTTGTCTTGAAATAGTTTTCTTTCTTTCGTTTTTCCTTTGATTCTTTTTTTTTTTTCTTTCTTAAAACAGTTTTCATTCGTTTCATTTTCTTTCATTTGTCTTGAAATTTTTTTTCTTTTCTTTCATTTTTCCTTTGATTCTTTTTTCTTTCATTTTCTTAAAACAGTTTTCATTCTTTCTTTCTTTCATTTGTCTTGAAATATTTTTCTTTCTTTCATTTTTTCCTTTATTGATTTCTTTTTTCATTTTTCTTTTTCAAACAGTTTTCATTCGTTCTTTCTTTCATTTGTCTTGAAATAGTTTTCTTTCTTTCGTTTTTCCTTTTTTCTTTTCTTTCTTTTTAAAACAGTTTTCATTCGTTTTTCTTTCATTTTCTTAAAATAGTTTTTTTTTCTTTGATTCTTTTCTTTCTTTCTTAAAAAAGTTTTCATTCGTTTCTTTCATTTTCTTTAGTTTTCTTTCTTCGATTCTTTTCTTTCTTTCTTTCTTAAAACAGTTTTCATTCTTTCTTTCTTTCATTTGTCTTGAAATAGTTTTCTTTCTTTCGTTTTTCCTTTGATTCTTTTCTTTCTTTCTTAAAACAGTTTTCATTCGTTCTTTCTTTCATTTGTCTTGAAATAGTTTTCTTTCTTTCGTTTTTCCTTTGATTCTTTTCTTTCTTTCTTAAAACAGTTTTCATTCGTTCTTTCTTTCATTTGTCTTGAAATAGTTTTCTTTCTTTCGTTTTTCCTTTGATTCTTTTCTTTCTTAAAACAGTTTTCATTTTCTTTTCTTTCTTTTTTCATTTGTCTTGAAACAGTTTTCTTTCTTTTTTTCCTTTGATTCTTTTCTTTCTTTTCTTAAAACAGTTTTCATTTCTTTCTTTCATTTTGTCTTGAAATAGTTTTCTTTCTTTCGTTTTTCCTTTGATTCTTTTCTTTCTTTCTTAAAACAGTTTTCATTCTTTCTTTTCTTTCATTTGTCTTGAAATAGTTTTCTTTCTTTCGTTTTTCTTTGATTCTTTCCTTTCTTTCTTAAAACAGTTTTCATTCGTTCTTTCTTTCATTTGTCTTGAAATAGTTTTCTTTCTTTCGTTTTCCTTTTGATTCTTTTCTTTCTTTCTTAAAACAGTTTTCATTCGTTTTCTTTTTTTCTTTCATTTGTCTTGAAATAGTTTTCTTTCTTTCATTTTTCCTTTTGATTCTTTCGTTTTTTCTTTCTTTTTTCTTTAAAACAGTTTTCATTCGTTCTTTCTTTCATTTGTCTTGAAATATTTTTTCTTTCTTACGTTTTTCCTTTGATTCTTTTCTTTCTTTCTTAAAACAGTTTTCATTCGTTCTTTCTTTCATTTGTCTTGAAATAGTTTTTCTTTCTTTCGTTTTTCCTTTTTTCATTTTTCTTTCTTTCTTTCTTTTTTCTTAAAACAGTTTTCATTCGTTCTTTCTTTCATTTGTCTTGAAATAGTTTTCTTTCTTTCGTTTTTCCTTTGATTCTTTTTTTTCTTTCTTAAAACAGTTTTCATTCTTTTTTTTCTTTCATTTGTCTTGAAATAGTTTTCTTTCTTTCATTTTTTCCTTTGATTCTTTTCTTTCTTTCTTAAAACAGTTTTCATTCGTTCTTTCTTTCATTTGTCTTGAAATAGTTTTCTTTCTTTCATTTTTTCCTTTGATTCTTTCCTTTCTTTCTTAAAACAGTTTTCATTCGTTCTTTTTCTTTCATTTGTCTTGAAATAGTTTTCTTTCTTTTCGTTTTTCCTTTGATTCTTTTCTTTCTTAAAACAGTTTTCATTCGTTCTTTCGTTTTTTTTCATTTGTCTTGAAATAGTTTTCTTTCTTTTTTTTTTTCCTTTGATTCTTTTCTTTCTTTCTTAAAACAGTTTTCATTCGTTCTTTCTTTCATTTGTCTTGAAATAGTTTTCTTTCTTTTCGTTTTCCTTTGATTCTTTTCTTTCATTTTTCTTAAAACAGTTTTCATTCTTTCTTTCTTTCATTTGTCTTGAAATAGTTTTCTTTCTTTCGTTTTTCCTTTGATTCTTTCCTTTCTTTCTTAAAACAGTTTTCATTCGTTCTTTCTTTCATTTGTCTTGAAATAGTTTTCTTTCTTTCGTTTTTCCTTTGATTCTTTTTTTTTCTTAAACAGTTTTCATTCGTTCTTTCTTTCATTTGTCTTGAAATAGTTTTTCTTTCTTTCATTTTTTCCTTTGATTCTTTCTTTCTTTCATTTAAAACAGTTTTCATTGTTTCTTTCTTTCATTTGTCTTGAAATAGTTTTCTTTCTTTCGTTTTTCCTTTGATTCTTTTCTTTCTTTCTTAAAACAGTTTTCATTCGTTCTTTCTTTCATTTGTCTTGAAATAGTTTTCTTTCTTTCGTTTTTCCTTTGATTCTTTTCTTTCTTTCTTTCTTAAAACAGTTTTCATTCTTTCTTTTTGTCACTCTTCTTGAAATAAGTTTCTTACTGTCGTTTTTTCCTTTCTTTCTTTCATTCTATCTACTATCTGTGCAATAACTATTCCCTTTCTTTCTTTTGAAATTGTTTTCTTTCCTTTGTTCTTTCTTTCTGTCTTTCTTTCTTCCGTGAAATAGAATTCGTTCTGTCTTTCTTTTTTCTTTCTTTTTTTTCTTTCCTTCATTCTTTATTTACTTTTCTTTCTTCTTGACATAATTTTCTTTCTTTCTTTCTTCATTGCATCCTTTTTTTTAAATAGGTTTCTTTCTTTCCCTCTATCCGCTTTCTATCTTGCAATAACAATTTTCTTCTTTTCTTTCGCCATTATTATTTCCTTTGCCTTTCACTTCCACTGCCATTCTCACTAGCCAAAATGGCCACCCATGCTTCACCCGTGGATTAGGCGTGAGCTTAAAAGTAAAAAAATTCTCGCGCAGATGAAAGCCAGGCTAATTGTGAAGAACAAATTATATCACTGTAGAATGAAAAAAAAATATATTTCCTGGAGAGTTATAAGTTGTCATACATGAACGTACCTATTCTATTATTAATAGACTCTCCCACACATTAGTAGTAGTAGTAGTAGTAGCGGTCGCCAGTTCAGCTCAGTGGTGTTGAGTGAGTCAGTCGATGTCGGACATTCAACCATCACAACTAGATTGCTGCGTCATTAACTCTTATTTCAAGTTCCTAACGTTCTGTACGTCGAACCTAATTTAGGACAACTTAGTGAAATAAAAGCCTCCGCTGTGAAAACTACTCTACAACATAAGTAAAAGCAAATATCACAGATGCAGTTACTGAACACAACAAACACACACTTGCGCGTAGAAACATATTAGGACAGGTAATAACATACCTGAATTTTTATAATTTTATATATACTTGCGTTAAATGGCGTAGATATTACATGTCAGCCAGGGAAGGCAGTCCATCTCGCAGAAGAAAATCCCCAATTTTTAAACCACTGCATCCTAACGGCCATATTTAAACACAGAAAAAGAGGTGGGATTAAAATCCAGACAGAAAATTCTGGGTGCAGCTCCAAACGCAATTGACTGTCAACACTGAAAAATCTCCGGTAACTCCTTCAGTCAAGTCGGTCCCGTGTTTCTTTGGGGGTTGTCGATACAGCCAAAACTGGTAGCCATGTTTGTCTGCCCAGACCAGGGCCTCCATGTACCATTTTTCAAAACTCATCACCAAAGGACTGAATTTTGTCTAAACAAGCCGCTAACTTTATCTGGCGAGATAAACGCATGCGTACGCTTGTGTTGATAAAAATGACACGTTCTTACGAATATTCATTTACTAGGATTAACTAAGAATATACGCTCACATACAGACAAACAGACATACATCAAGATATATCTATCGATTTCACAAAAATACAGAGGAAATGTAGACAAAAAATATGAATCCGCTATCACACACAAATACACACACACACACACATATATATATATATATATATATATATATATATATATATATATATATATATATATCGTAAATGTTTTTGCATTGATAAGTCCAGAGAAAAACTACTTTCCAATGGAGGAAATGATCATCTGTATGAGGTAAATCGTTTGGATCTCATTAATTGTAATTCACTTATACGCTCTATAATAAAAATGATATTGATCTCTCTTTTTGTGGACTAGGTTTAATATTCTATATTAATGGGATCTACTTGGATTGCTTATCCACGGACTTTAACCTGTCCTATATATATATATATATATATATATATATATATATATATATAAAGGGTGTTCAAATAAGTTAGACCGATTTTAAATGAGAACTTAGTTTAAGCATCTAATGATGTTTTCTTTTTCTTTCAGATTTGGCGAACATTTCGGCGATATAGTTTTTCACACATAATTGCCATGACTTAAAGAACATGATCCAATAGAGTAATAAATATCTATAAAGTGAAAGATCATCAAAAAAGTGAAGCCGACCAGAGTCCGAGGAAGAAAAATTAATGATCGCCACATGACCAAACAAAGAAGAACTGCTAATATGAATGATTGGAGGTGTTATCCAAATGTATAAACCTAAGAAATATTTATTGAGGTAGTACGAACGTGGATGAAAATGTATTTTTTCCCTCCGCCTTTTACCTCCGCCATCTTTTCCCCACTAACTTCCGGTGTTCGTATATAATGGTATACAAAAATCTTTCATTCTACTTGGCTGAGGAGACCCAATATATATATATATATATATATATATAATAAAATGGCTTAAAAACTAATATTCCATGGTCATAATTTATTCCAGTGGAATCGTAAATACGATCCAATTCATCAGACCTACAAATTCAAAAAGAAAACAGAAAAAAACAACTCCGGGAATAAAAAGTAAAATTTAGTGAGAGTGTATGTATGAGAGTGTGGGACGATTGTTAGAGTAAATGAATAATCATTTATACAAAAAACAGATTAGTGAAGTTAATGATATAAATGGCGAGAATATATCTTTGCAAACAAATTTATTAAAATTACATTAACCCACGAACCTCTACATGAATGTTATGATCCCTGTTTTTAATAAATTCAACTTGTATAAGGTCTTGTTTGCTAGTATTTCATCTGTTCATACAGACATCAACAGTCATGGAAATTGATTTGTTTTTTTGTTTTTTTAATACATCCAGGTAATAACGGGGCACGAAAGATTAGATGTTTTTTTTTAGAAATGTGTTATTGTTAACTGTAAGAAATTTATATACTATAAAAAAAAAGGGAAATCAGTTGAATCCGCTAGTTCGGTTTCAAACTTACGTTAACCTCAGAAATAAAACCATACCAAACTAATATGTGTAATTTAAAATTAAAAAAAAAACAGCAGGGACCGATTGTGAGCAACAAAATTTTTTAAAAGGCTAAGCATTATAACAACTACAACATTATTTGCAACCTCTGCCAAAAGGAAAAAAAAAAGCAATAATGATATTTCCGAATCTAAAGAACCTTTTGAACCAGAAATCCGGAGTCTTGACTCTTTGTATACAAATCCTCTTAAAGACATAGACGGCAGGATAAAAAAAATGTACATTTCAATTACCCACCCACCGATACATTTATAATACACTTGCGTTTCCTTCTTCCTCCTCCTTCTTCTTCTTCTTCTTCTTCTTCTTCTTCTTCTTCTTCTTCTTCTTCTTCTTCTTTATTACACCCAACACCGTGCGATTTTTTTTCGTTTTTTGTTGTCTTTTTATATATAGGGTTCATTAGGTTTCTAAAAAATAAAGCGTTGCGAGGTCAATTGCTAAAAATCGCCTGAGGGTACCCTAAGGCTGAAACCAAGGTAGTGGATCCAAGATCTACATGTTATTTTTACATTTATTTTTTTTTTCCCACGTGTATTGATTAGTTTTTAATACCACTGTTTCCTGGTCTGATTCAACTCTGGTGGGGGATAACCTTTTATATATATATATATATATATATATATATATATATATATATATATATATATATATATATATTAAAGGAACGTTCGGTTGGCAAGGTTGAAAATTACTATTTATAAACTTCAATCTTCCATAATCTATATACATTCATAACTGCTCATGTCGTATCAATGTATTTAAATGACATATAATGTCATATATTAAAAATGGACAAAGTCCGACAATTTTCCTTTGTGGCCGCGCGATCAAGGCACGTCAGCGTAAATGACGGTTCCGTATAGGATGCAGGTTCGAATCCTGTCAAAGGACGAATATTTTCTATGAAAATTTCTCGGACATTCAGACCGGTAAATGTTATTTAATACTGTTTATTATAAACAGAGCATTTACTTAAATACTTGTATCTATAAAAAGAACGTTAAACATAAAAATGTCTTTTAATAAATAAATTGTCGGATTTTGGACTTTGTCCATTTATTATATATATATATATATATATATATATATATATATATATATATGAAAATTCATTGATTTGTCTTTTTTTTCTAGTATTCCAAAGGTTTACTTTGGGGGTTATTTCAAGCCGAAACATGTTTGAGATTATATGGATATATTTTGTTTGTTATTACATGATGTTTTTTTTTGTAGATAACAATGATATTTTTAAAAAAAGGCAGTTTTTAACCCATTGCTGGGGTGAGGTGATGGATTCATGCCATCCCAAATGGTATTGCGCGAAAGTGAACGCAACGAAACGGACTGGAATTCGAACTAGACTCTAAGATCTTTCATTTCAAACCGGGTAATGATGGAACAGTTAAAGTAATAATCCTGGATTTCTCTTACTAAAGTGGTGGTAGCACCTGTTAGGGTACCAGCTATGGGCAAATAGTGGACCCCCAAACAAAATCAAAACACTATGTAATATAATGGAATATGCATACACATGTGTTCCCCCTCACTGGAATATGATTGGCTGGTGTCCGTCATAAATACTGACGGACATATAGGAGAATCAGAGCCTTAGTCTGAGAGCTAAGTCTATAACGACGCCCCTTGGACTACGCCATTGATCTACACTTCTTACCTGCGACTACGACGCGTACCAGTCGATTACTGCTACCGTATTCTACTTGGTTATAGTAGCCAAAACCACTTAGCTACTTCGTTCAAATATATCCCTTTCCGGGACATATCACTATCTATCTATCTATCTATCTATCTATCTATCTATCTATCTATCTATCTATCTATCTCAGTCTGTTAAAAATCTATCTATCTATCTGATATAATGGAATATGCATACACCTGTGTTCCCCCTCACTGGAATATGATTGGCTGGTGTCCGTCATAAATACCGACGTACGTGTAGGAAAGTCAAGAGCTTTAGTCTGAGAGCTAAGTCTATAACGACGCCCATTGGACTACGCCATTGATCTACACTTCTTACCTGCGACTACGACGCGTACCAGTCGATTACTGCTACCCTATTCTACTTGGTTATAGTAGCCACAATCACTTAGCTACTTCGTTCAAATATACCCCTTTACGGGACATATCACTATAAAAGTATAAAAATGGCTTATTATATTAAAACATCAGAAAATTGGAATTTTACATCAATGCCTGGACAACCAAACTATTTATATTCCAACATAGATGATCGGACTCTGAACTATCAACAGTCAACGAATATCCCCTCGTGGAAGAACCGTACCTTGAGAGAAGTTTGGTCCTTAAACTCATGCCTGACCTCAAATCGTACATACGATCCATCGCTAAAGAGGCAGGTAAAATGTTCGGCTCCTTGTACTGCTCCAGTAAGTACCTGACTCCTCATGTTATCCTTTACCTTTACAATTGCCAGATCAGGCTGAAAATAGATTACTCCAGTCATATTTAGGCTGTCCAATCCTCACTTTCCAGTTTCGATTGAGT